CTTGTGTGTATTTTGCCTAGACCACTGAATTGACAAATCTGTGGTACTAGGCCTGGGATAAATGTATCCCAAACAAACTCTCATGCAGTCACATTAATAGTTTGGCTATGAATGACAGCTCTCCTGTCAGATTATTTATTCCGATATAGGTTCGATATCGGGTCTCGGTATAGATTCCTTGTTTCGAAATAATGCGATGACTGTTGAGGAAAACTAATAGTCGTTTTGAGTTCAATCAGTAGTAATTTTCCTAATAAATAGCCGATTTCGTTTATCAATTTCAAATAGGTTAGAGTTTAAAATAAAACTTGGAGGTCGTTAAATATAACTCAGTATATGTTGTTAGTTTGCTTGCAATCTCACTTAGCAAATTAATAAGCGTATTCACTCGATGAAGACAAAGCATGAGGTAACTCTCACCTCATAAACAATCAATCAGGTAATCAAACAAATTTAGGTTCGGCAAACATAATAAAGATTCAGTCTGTATTTGTTCAAACAAGTAAGTTCGGTATCATCTTTCTTTTTTTTTTTATTTTTTAGAGACAAACGTAGTAGAAATGTAGTCACTGTAGAATACCCTTCTAAAATAATGAGACGAGCCTCGCCAAATAAAAAATGCAAATTGCGGGGCCCTCAATAATTGATCATGATAAATACTTAGAATTTGGGATGGACTGTTTAGTGAATTCCACTGCCTTCCCCAAAGATAATAACGCGTTAGATTCTTTAGGCACGACTTAATTAAATTACATTCTTAAATTCGGGTGCGCATTTGTGTGACCCAAATTCAAATCTCAACGGAGTCGAAATGTGTTAACAACTACGGGTGCATTGATTGTGACGTGGTTCGAGATGCATTTTCACGACGTTGCAATTCTATAAAAATAAATGATAATAATAAAAGCGGTTTAAACTTAATAAAAGCACATAAGTCACAACATGTATTTAAATCAGATATTTAGCCATTATAACAATTTAAGCGACCGTGCTAGAACCACGGGATTCGAGGGTGCCTAACACCTTCCCTCGGGTCAACAGAATTCCTTACTTAGAATTTCTGGTTCGCAGACTTCATTTGGAAAAGTCGAAAATTTCCTCGATTTGGGATTCAAGATAAACCGGTGACTTGGGACACCAAAAACCAAACCTTTCCCAAGTGGCGACTCTGAATTAAATAAATAATCCCATTTCGAATATTGTCACTTAAATTGGAAAAACTCCACCCGCGCATTTAACCCTTCGGGGCCGGGCGCACAAAAAGGAGGTGTGACAACCCTAAGATTTTTTTTTAAACTTGAATAAGAAATTTACTCGTATGATGAACTTAAAGAATAATTGAATTGGATTCTCTTGCTAAATAATTAATTAAAATATTTAATTATTAATTATTTGGTTTAAACATAAAAAATATTTTATTCTATGTTTATTCAGATCTTAATATTAGTTCATCTCTTATTTTGAATATTTAATATTAATTATAATTTTATCCGCCATAAATTTTATTTTCAAAGAGTAAAAGATTGGTATGACATTTCACATTTAGATCTTTATATTTGTATAATTATTAGTGGTATTGACTCTTACCAATCATTTTTTTCTCTCTTTCTCACACATTTATATTCTTAAATATTTTCTTACTTGTTGTTTAATAATTGGGTATTTTTCAATATTACACGAAAAATTGATAAAAAAATATTATTTGAGTAGGAAAGTAGTTCAAATGTAATATAAAATATATTATCGTGGAGGTATTTTTTTTTTCTCAATTTCAACTCTTTATGTTGTCCATTTAATTATTACTTATATTTTTCCTACGTATTGGACATTATGGAGTGGTAATGTATTGCTAATACGGAGGATTCTTATGAAATTCTAAGAATCATCCCTTAAAACCAATTGAATCACTCTTATGAACTTCAAGTTCTTCAATTCACTTCTAACGCATCGAAACGTATTTATACTACTCGGATTGACACCAAATTTTGCGGGCAAGTCTTAAATATTATATTAAACCTGTACCGGGCTCCGGAACCAACATATGAGCCCGATACCAAAGTGGTCAATCATTTTTAATTTTTTTAAATTCTTAGAATTTCAGTTTAACAATTTCTAATAAAAATTCATTACTCGGGTTAGGGACCTCAGAATTCGATTCTGGGACCGTCAAAACACGAATCCGGGTCCGTTTGCTAAAAATATTGGCCAAAGTCAAACTTAGCCTTCCAAGAAAATCTTAAGGAATCAAATGAACCTATTTCAATCCAAACTCTTCCAAATCCCGAACCAACCATCCCCGCATGTCGTAAATTAGTTAAAGCAAGCGCGAAAAGTTTTATTAGGGGAACGGGGTTCTAAAAAGCAAAACGACCAGTCGGATCATTACATAATATGCCTTTATTGAGTGGGAGTGATGTCTGAACAGTGAACCCTATAGTAAGAAGTCACTAATATTTTAATACCGTAAGGTAATGAAGGTAATATTAGTAGTACTTCGTCGTAGTGGGAGAATGCTAAAGAAAATCATAGTTCGGTGTACACTTTTGGGATAGTTTCAGTAACAGGATCCCTGAAGAGTTTAATACCAAACTAGATGGTTACGACAAAGCACTACTACAACAACAACAACAACAACAACAACAACAACAACAACAACAACAACAACNTATAGTACAACTAGAAGGTAAAGCCCTGCATCAATAGACGACCAATGGTATTCCTAGTCTAACTCCTAACTGGATAGGCTCACTCTATTGTGCTGTAGAAATATTCACACTCCCCCCTAACCTACAACCTTAATGCTCGACCTCCATAATTCTCTATCAAGGGCCATGTCCTCAGTAATCCAAGGTTACGACAAAGCACTACTGGACAAATATTGCATCAGAAATAACTTTTAATAGTCATGTGAAAAAATGCCTGAGAAAATTGTAAATGCATGTAATCGGTTCTTATTTTAGAAGCGGTTGTACAATGTTATTTTCCCATATTCAAAGTTTGCTGGCTTTTTAGCCAAACTGCTAATTAGGAAAAGCAAAGTTTAAATAAATTTATTTCAAGGACCAACTTAGTTTTCACCCTAATAATCGCACTTGAAACGTTAAGTCAATTTTTTGTTATGAATTGTCAGAGTCAAATTCCCTTCATGATCCTATTAAACATGTCTCTCTCGTTCAGTTACTCGCTCACTGACTTGATGTGATTAACTTAATTAGGAAAATTAATACAAGAAAAATGGCTTTTAGTGACCCGGAAAAATGGAGTCCCTAAAGTTATCAAATAATTCGTCCACGCACATCCTCATTCTTATCATAATTAAATTTGTGGTAGAGTCATAGCATTATCTTGATAATAAAATATTTATCCTTGACAAAAAAGCAAACTAAAAATCGGATTTTATTAAATTGATTAGTCTCACAGAAGACAGTTAGAGTTCATTCTTATGACGGTACGTAGCTCGTTTACAACCACCCATAATTAATTATGTAGGAATGAAGGTATATGCTTTAAAATAAAATGTCTTGATCGAGATAGCTGTTTGTTGCAACTATCCCCATTTATTATGCTACACAGCTGAAAAAATTATACAATATTGTCAGCGTTATGCCTTTAAACTCTTCTACTGCTCACCTGTGAAACAGTTTCTTCAATTATTAGTATTTGATAATTAGTTTAACCTATATCTTGAAAGGGGACAAGAATGACAATTTAATGTAGCTTTAAATTTCTAGGTTTCTCTTGGAACAGGGGTGAGCTTGGCAATAAATTGTGGTTTCAAACTTGGATAGGAGAAAAGAAAAGAATTGCAGTAAATTAACGGCCAAAAGTAAGAGTACTTAATTTGCTCTAGCCATGGCGAATCCTTTTAATGACCTGATTAAGCAAAGTGATAACATAATATTCATATACTGACTCTAACTAGTTTGGAATTGAAAGGTAGTTAACTCCTTGATTGATTCAAAAAGTAAAAGAAAAGAAAAGTGTAGTTAATTTGGCATTCATAAGGATTAAGATACTAAGAATTCATTTTGAACTTCCTTGTCAAAACAAAAAGGGGCAAAATTAATAAATAGCCAGATTTACAACTGGAAAAATAGTCATAGCAAAGTAATCGAAATTTAGTCACTTTTTCATGTAAAGATAAAATCTGAATAAAAAACCCTTAAAAATTCAAAAATATTCCAGCATAATATGCTAGAGTTCGAATATTTTTACATATGAGCTTCCAACATAATGTGATGTGCATATGCATGAGCTCCATAATCCCGCATATTATACTGGAACTTTCCGTGTGCTGGAGTTCCAACATAATATGCAGGACCTCCATAATCCCGCATATTATGCTAGAACTTTTTGTGTTTCGGCAAAACAGTTACTATTATGTTTCAATGACTTTGCAAACGCTAACTATTTTTCGATTATCAGTCCGAAAACAAACTAGCTCATGTTATTTTCACAACACAAAGAGAAAAGAGAGTCTTATGTGAAAAATTAAAAGGGTACCTTAGTATTAGATTACGTAAGTTATTTTCTGATTAAACAATTAAAAAGTGTCATTTTTGCCCCCCC